AAAGTGCTGGGATTACAGGCTGAGCCACCAAGCCCGGCCGGAAATTATATCTCAATAAAATTGTTTTCTAGGCTGGGCATGGTGGTCAGCCTGTAATCCCAGTGCTTTGGGAGGCTGTAATTTTTTAATTTATTGTAGAGACAAGCGCACCTGTAGTTCTGGCTACTTGGAAGCCCGAGGCGGAAGAATCGCCGGAGCCCAGCAGGTCAAGGCTGCGGTGGCTGGAAGCGGCCACTGCACTCCAGTCTGGGTGACAGAGTGAGACTCCAACTCAAGAAAAAAAAAATTAGCTGAGCTTGGTGGTACGTGCCTGTAGTTCCAACTACTTGGAAGGGTGAGGCGGAAGGATTGCCTGAGTCCAGCAGGTCAAGGCTGCGGTGGCCATGAGTATGCCAGACAGATAGAGACACAATTTTTCTTCAAAAATTGGTACTGGGCAGGTTTTGGAGGATCATCTGTGGGAATGCTGAAATGACTAAGAATTATGACAGTAGCTCTGGAGTGAGGGATAGGGAGACAGGATTAAAATCTTCCAAGGATAGGCAGGAGCAGCTGGTAGGTAACAAGACAAGTTCATCAAGGAAGGAAGGAAAGAGGTGTCCACAGACAGCCTGCACGTCAAAGGAACTGAAGTGTCTGGGAGAGAGAAAGAACCATCTGGAAGAGGCAAGGAAGGAAGGAAGGAAGGAGGAAAGGAAGGAAGGAAGGAAGGAAGGAAGGAAAAGAGACACCTGCTTGCCTCCAGGCTCAGTGGCTGAAGGGTACAAGAGAGAGGGCTGTGGCGTCTTCTGGGAGAAAAGGGGTCAGTCAGAACAAGAAGGTGCTTAGAGGACGGGGAGGTCCAGGAGGTGCTGCTGCTGACAGGCCATGACTTCCTGACCCCCAAAACTTTGGGGGTTTTGGAAGGACGGGAAACTGGTTAGACTGAGGGTATCCAAAGCTGGGTGGGAATTAAGGCACTGTGGGCAGAGGAGCCCCTCGGGGACACCAGACCCCACCGTGATGCCACCTCAACTCAAGGAGACTTGGGGTCACTGCAGAAGCTCTGGGAGGATTTTTTTTTTTTTTAGTTGGGGTCTCACTCTGGTGCCCAGACTGGAAAGGAGTGGCATGCTGCTGGCCACTGTAGCCTTGACCTCCTGGGCTCCGCCGATCCTTCCACCTCAGCCTTCCAAGTAGCTGGAACTACAGGCGTGCGCTAGCATGCCGGATTTATGGAGGATTCTGCCCTGCGACAGAACACGACACAGAATTCAAAGACCCACGGGGAGGAGGGCAGAGAAAGAGAAAAGAGACAGAGGAAAAAAAAAAGAGAGAGACCAGAGAGATGGGGAGGAGGGAATGGAGACCAGAGGCAGGGAAGGCCGAAGACCATGAAAAAGATGGGCACAAGCCGGGCTTGGTGGCTCAGCCTGTAATCCCGCGCCTTTGGGAGGCTGAGGTGA